AATGTTCAATTATTTATATTGTATATGGTGAAAAAATCGACAAAGGGCCATAATTCTGTTAAATTTGGTCACAGCAAAAATTCCTTCCTTTACTACCATCTACACATTAAAGCTGTTCATCCCTGGAAATTTAAGCAAAATCTGCCATCCGGTTTAAGAGGAGTTGCATTCACAAGATTTCGGGACGTACGGACAGACGTACGGACGTTCCAACATTTTGGCTTTAGGGGCTATTTTCTTTGTTTTCTTAAGGGCTACTAGCCCATAAACCCTTTGATCACGGAATGAACCTATTGTTCTCTTTTGTTCTCTTTACTGTTATATAGCAAAAATTCCTTCCTTTACTACCATCTACACATTAAGGTTGTTCAACCCTGGAAGTTAAAGCAAAATCTGCCATCCGGTTTAAGAGGAGTTGCATTCACAAAATTTCTACATAGTATATAGTGAAAAAATAAAAAAAATGGCCATAATTCTGTTTAATTTGGTCGCAGCAAAAATTCCTTCCTTTACTACCATCTACACATTAAGGTTGTTCATCCCTGGAAGTTTAAGCAAAATCTGCCATCCGGTTTATGAGGAGTTGCATTCACAAGATTTCGGGACAGACGTACGGATGTTCCAACATTTTGGCTTTAGGGGCTATTTTCTTTGTTTTCTTAAGGGCTACTAGCCCATAAACCCTTTGATCACGGAATGAACCTATTGTTCTCTTTTGTTCTCTTTACTGTTATATAGCCCTTAAACCCAAAATGTTTGCTCGGACAGATGTACGGACGGACGGACGTTCCAATATTTTGGGTTTAGGGGCTATTTTCTTTCTTATCTTAAGGGCTACTAGCCCATAAACCCTTTGATCACGGAATGAACCTATTGTTCTCTTTTGTTCTCTTTACTGTTAAATAGCCCCTAAACCCAAAATGTTTGCTCGGACAGACGGACGGACAAGTGCAACGCTATATGCCCCCCACTTTGTGGGAGCATAAAAATCAACAATTGGTTATTTATAGCATTTGTCTACAAAAACAAGATACTTACGTGGTACGACAGTAACATTGACTCTAGCTTCCCCAAACTTGTTTTCCCCGGTGACCTGTATGCGGAATGTATAGACCCCAGCGATCAACTGTAATGTAAAAAATACACCATTTTATTTAATGCATAACCTTTGCATATATTAAAGATATACTATGCTAAATTTTAAATTATCTAATATTAGAAAATATCGATAATTGATTCTCAGTCTCTTTGTAAATATAGTATAAGCATCTTTGACTTCACATACAGTACATGTGTTATGTTTAAAAATTTACACACACTATTGGTTGTCACCATATAAATATACAGTGTCAATAAAAAAATGGCAGTATTATTTAATTTAAAGAAAATATCAACTTTACTTGACCTGTAATAGGGAACGCAGCTTCCCAAAATAGTTCCTTCACTCTTGTATTCAAGTTAAGACATATTCAGTTAGAATTTCATGGATTGCAATGAATTTCTGTGATTAAATATTTTACTCAAGAATGAGCATAGTATATCTGTAAGATTGTTTTTGTCTAGGATTGAAAGATGGACAAGTCCATTTAAGATACATAGTGTGGTAAAGGTTAACTGGTTCTGAATCTGACAGTTTACAAACCACTTCAGAAGCATCATCAGCAACTGGCATAACTTTTTTCAACCCATACTACATCTCAAATAAATCTGTGTTATTTTTTTTTATTGACATTTATGTAAGAGGGAGACAAACAAGAATTTAGATGTAACTATGCTATCACTTCTACTTGTATTTCACTTTTAACACTTTCATAACACTTTACTGCCGAGTCACTTTTTAATTTTTTTCTGCCTAGAGTCTCTTTCTACCCTTTGCTGTTTTAGCATCATCTATTTGCCCACAGGACCGACCAGTGTACTAGTTATTTCAATATGAAATTATTTATTTAATTAATTGATTTTAAAATGATTTCTTTATCATTCCCTTGGTGTTCTGCATCTCATTAAATTCAATTTTTAATTTTTTGATGGTTTTCCACTTATAAAAATCACTATATAAACTTTTAGCATATATATCATATGCATAATTGCAGAGACCTAATGTACATTTTACTGATATGATAAATTTAAACATCATAAATTCAACTGCACCTTATCAAGTTTAAGTGTATTTGTATTCCTGCCATCCATGTGTCCGTATTCCTCTGCCTCTGGATGAGCTTCCATTGTCCAATCATAGTGATACTCCTCACCTATATCATGTCAATAACAAACATTACATTAATTAGTGAAACAAAACAACAAAATTGTCAAGTGCAAACCTTACAGTGAACAAAAATCAAACTGAATTAATTCATGTACATTTAAAAACACTATAAGACATTATACATTTTCATCTTTTGTGTAATTTTTATCATACCATTTTATTGACAAATTTAAGAAATATATATAAGTGGCGGCGTGGCCGAGTGGTAAACACGTCATAGTAATCTAAGGATTCCTGACCACGTGGGTTCAAATCCTGTCATCCGCAAGCCGTTTTTTCCTTTATATTCATTACTTAGTACTGGTTGGTTCCAGGAACACATTCAAGAGTGTTTCAATAAGCTTATAGCTTCCAACACAATCAAACTAAAATAAATTTGTTTAAACTAAATATACATTTATATTAATAATAAAGCTTTCAAATGGCTAATTATGAAGTTTATCTTTTACAGATGATAATTTTGATTGGCAAAATTGTTATTTAAATATTCTCAGAATAATTCAAGTTCTATACAGAAAACTAACCTTTAGCTTGAGGTAAAGCAAATGCTGTTAATGTGACTTCATTCTTTGGTAACTGGACCTCTTTATTATCCCCTGCAGATACTGTCAACATTTCTACTGTAAACATTAAATAACATTGTTACAGCATGATAGTTTGATTGGTTTTATCACTGATTTTAACACATCATTTGTCTTAAGTCTCAGCTAATTTTAAAACATTTTTGGTCATATCTCAACTGGTGGTCAACCTATCCAGCTTTCAACTAACAAGAAATTACCAATTCTTTGTAAGTGACCGACTTTAAATCATACATGATTTTTGAAACAGCATCTGAGAAATAAAACAAAAAGTTTGTCACCATAGTGCAAAAATGATAAATTCCTATTAAATTTAGAAGAACTTATTCCGCTTATGCACTAAGGTGATGAAATGACCATTTGTTGCAATGTCCAAGATTGTCACAGAGGAATTTCACTGCATCCAAGACTTGAACTAGCAACCCTTGGATTAGAAAGCCTGTAAGGTTTTTACTTAGCTAAGTGGGCAGACTGCATGCAACAAGTAATATTCCATTACAATTAGGTTGCCAAAGTTGGCAAAATTTGAAATTTTTATTGTTTAAGTACTTCAAAAATTCAAAAGTCAAAATTGTTTGCATGGAATATGAACTTGCTTACACCAGTTTATACTCTCATACCAGAGATCAAAAATATACTTTTGCTGTTAAGCTTTGATTATATCACAAACTGACTGTTACATTATCATAGTGCAAATACTGATTTTACAGGACTTAAGTTGCCGATGTTTCTAAAATCAAATTTTCAACATTTTCATTGTTTAAATGTTGAATTCTGTTTAAGCAAATGCTAGGGGGTGCATGGACAATAGTTTGCACTTGCGAGTACCATCCATAAACAGACTCAATCAAACAGAGCCTGCAATGCTTTCAATTTTGCCATTTTGCACTTTTTTTAGGGATTCTTATTTTCTCTATTCTATACAAACCAGTGCTCATAAGTTCTTTTCATTCATCAAATTTAAATTTCAATTCATTATACTCACATTTTTGTCACCAAACATTTTGATAAAGAAATGATATACCTTTCTGTGTTGTTGGTTGGATTTTTGGAGTAACATTTGGTGCTGGTGATGCATCTTCAACATCTTCTGGTTGAACACTCTTTTCTGTAGTTTTATCTCTATCATCCGTCACACAGTCACTATCCTCATTCTCAATAAATCCACTGGAACACTGACACGTTCCTGATTTAGAATGTTCTCCATTGTGAACACATTCTCTGTTTACACCACAGTTAGTAACTCCAAACTCACAATCTCCAATTAAAACACAATCTCCGTTTTTATCTTCAGTATAACCAGGTACACAATCACATGTACCCGAGTTTGAACGCGAATTTTGTAAAACACATTCTCGGTGGTTTGCACAGTGTGTCACACCAAATTCACAATCTTGAATTAATACACAATTACCACTCATGTCCTCAGCATAGCCACGAACACATTTGCAGGTACCTGCGTTGCTTGTTTGATCCCATGGGACACATTCTTGGTGTTTATCGCATTGCGTAATGCCGGCTCTACAGTCTTTTAAATCTGGCTTTTTATTTGTGATTCCTGAGCTAGATGTATCATCAGCTTCAGCTGTAAGGAAACAAAACTTAACATTAATAGACTGACTGAATGTTTGTCTTTGTGAATTTTTATCTCTTATAAAACTTGTAAATAGAAAAGAATAAGAGTACTTCTTTAAGGTGTTGATCCACGAGTTTTACCTTAGAGGGTGTTGAAAAAATTTAAACAAGGGGAAATGCATAATCCAGTGGGAGTATTGCACTTTTCTAGTTTTCCAGAGAGGGGTTCATGGGTCAAAATTTTTCTATTTTTTTCACTAGTTATTGCATGAATTATAATATAATACAAAAGATTTGACTTACTCCGGAATCAAAATATTTTGGGTTTTTCCCAGCTAATCTGGGGGACAAACAAACTTTTACAGTTCCAAAAATAAGGGCAAAAGGTTGACTTATCTATTGTAACTAGTAATGAATCTATAATGGTAAACGTTTGTATGTTTGGAAAATCCCACATTTGTTGATTTCCAGATAACATCTATTAATATGGAAGTCTCAGGAGTTTTACATAGACTAAATAAATCCCAGCGGCAGTCATTTGCCCCCCCCCCCCCACCCCTTCATTCTGTATTATATAGTAATGATCATTAATGTTTATCAATACTTCATATTTAAAGTGATATTAATGCCCAACCAAGGGCATTTAGTGAGTGAACAGGTGAAGAAAGCCAATATAGGTTTAAATTTTCCCATAATTGATAGATCCCTACTTTGATCTTTTATTTGAATAACGATAGATTTAACAACAAACACTGACATGTGTTCTTTTTGTTAACATAATTATAATTAAATCACTAATCTGATCATAAGAACTGGACCTGTCCAATTCTAATTCTATGAATATCTATTGGAAATTACTTGTAAATGATCAATTTATAAAAAGAATGGGGCAGACTTTTTATATTTAATAGCTCAAATCTATATTTTATCCTAAAGATTTTCCATTTTCAATTGTTGGTCAATCATCATTATAACAACAAATCTATTGAAAGATACATGTATAATCAATTCAGCTCAACTTAACAATGGAAAAAAATGAGAATAATGACCCTTTAATGCTCATGTAACCTTATGATATTGCAATCCCCTAAATCAAACATGGACAGTTCCAATTAAAACTCAAGGCAAATCCATTCACAAAACTTAGGTTGGTAGTTTCATTTTTGCACATATTGAATCATCAATATTTCAACTATTATTTGTTCGGGTATTTGGGTACATGCACTCAAAACAGGATGTTAACATAATCATGCGTAACTTTGCAACTTTAAACTATGAAAAATACATGTTGACTGTACAAAACAGTGTTTGGGGAGAGTTTTATTTAAGCTTAAAGTGTTCTGCTCAATCCTGGATGTAATTTATATATTGCAATTTTGTTTAAAAATATTGAAAAATTTGAAAAAAAAAAAAATTGTTCAAACCAAAACAATCTTAAAATTTCTGCTACCCGCCAAACACGCCAAATACAAAAAGTCATACTAAAATGTCAAAGTCCTGTTCACAAAAGACAATGTCTAAGGGAATGAAGATGGGGAGTCCATGGCCAAGTGGTTAAGGTCATTGACTTCAAACCACTTGCCCCTCAACGCTGTGGGTTCAAATCCCTACAGGGACTTTGGATTCTTTCATGAGAGAAAGCTATTCAGCTAGCATACGAACGTCGGTGGTTCTACCCAGGTGCCCGTTTGTGCCTGAAATAATGCACGGAAGGGCACCTGAGGTCTTCCTCCACCAGTAAAGCTGGAACATCGCGATATGACCTATATTGTGTCGATGTGACGTAAAACCCAAAACAAACAAAACAAAAGTCTAAGGGAGTGTAAAGAAAAACAATAACAAAAACCCAAAATGAGCAACAATACAAGAAAATATGACATCAAATTTTGTCATATCTCAGATCATTTTTCAAAGCAAGTAAAAGGTGTAAAACTGCAATGTCCACTGGGAAAATCAATTTACACCTATTGAAATGAACTTCACAACATCTCACACTTCTACATGTAGCGGTTAGAAATTTTTCTTTCCAACATGAAAGCTCTATGCAAACATAGTAAAATAAAATAAGGGGAAAAAAAAACAGTCACAAATTTTTGTTATTGAGAAAAATATAAGTTGGCATGTCATTGCTATTTGATGAAGTTGAAAAAGCAAATGTGTTGCCTTTATAAATGATACGGTTACCTGTACCCCAGAGTTAGATGCTAGTTTGTACCTATATAGATTTATATTTTATAACTTCAGCAAGAAAGGTAACAAGAGCTGTCGGTAGGACAGCAACGCTCGACTATTAGTGCCTGATAGTAAAAAAAATGCTTGATACAGTTACCTCCTCCTGTTTACAGGTTGGGGTCATGATGGTGAACAAGTGTGCAGAGTTTCAAAGCCATATGTCAATGGATTTGAAAATATTTGAACTATTACAAAAACTTTAACGTAAATTCTAAGTCGAAAAAGGGGCATAATTCTGTCAAAATGCTTGATAGAGTTACCTCCTCCTGTTTACAGGTTGGGGTCATGATGTTGAACAAGTGTGCAAAGTTTGAAAGCCATATGTCAATGGACTTTGAAAATATTTGAACTATTACAAAAACTTTAACGTAAATTCTAAGTCGAAAAAGGGGCATAATTCTGTCAAAATGCTTGATAGAGTTACCTCCTCCTGTCTACAGGTTGGGGTCATGATGGTGAACAAGTGTGCAAAGTTTCAAAGCCATATGTCTATGGACTTTGAAAATATTTGAACTATTACAAAAACTTTAACGTAAATTCTAAGTCGAAAAAGGGGCATAATTCTGTCAAAATGCTTGATAGAGTTACCTCCTCCTGTCTACAGGTTGGGGTCATGCTGGTGAACAAGTGTGCAAAGTTTCAAAGCCATATGTCAATGGACTTTGAAAATATTTGAACTAATACAAAAACTTTAACATAAATTCCAAGTCGAAAAAGGGGCATAATTCTGTCAAAATGCTTGATAGAGTTACCTCCTCCTGTCTACAGGTTGGGGTCATGCTGGTGAACAAGTGTGCAAAGTTTCAAAGCCATATGTCAATGGACTTTGAAAATATTTGAACTATTACAAAAACTTTAACGTAAATTCTAAGTCGAAAAAGGGGCATAATTCTGTCAAAATGCTTGATAGAGTTACCTCCTCCTGTCTACAGGTTGGGGTCATGCTGGTGAACAAGTGTGCAAAGTTTCAAAGCCATATGTCAATGGACTTTGAAAATATTTGAACTATTACAAAAACTTTAATGTAAATTCTAAGTCGAACAAGAGCTGTCGGTAGGACAGCAACGCTCGACTATTCTTAGTGCTTGATAGTAAAAAAAATGCTTGATAGAGTTACCTCCTCCTGTTTACAGGTTGGAGTCATGATGGTGAACAAGTGAGCAAAGTTTCAAAGCCATATGTCAATGGTTTTTGAAAATATTTGAACTATTACAAAAACTTTAAAATAAATTCTAAGTCGAAAAAGGGGCATAATTCTGTCAAAATGCTTGATAGAGTTACCTCCTCCTGTTTACAGGTTAGGGTCATGAAGGTGAACAAGTGTACAAAGTTTCAAAGCCATATGTCAATGGACTTTGAAAATATTTGAACTATTACAAAAACTTTAACGTAAATTCTAAGTCGAAAAAGGGGCATAATTCTGTCAAAATGCTTGATAGAGTTACCTCCTCCTGTCTACAGGTTGGGGTCATGATGGTGAACAAGTGTGCAAAGTTTCAAAGCCATATGTCAATGGAATTTGAAAATATTTGAACTATTACAAAAACTTTAACGTAAATTCTAAGTCGAAAAAGGGGCATAATTCTGTCAAAATGCTTGATAGAGTTACCTCGTCCTGTTTACAGGTTGGGGTCATGATGGTGAACAAGTGTGTAAAGTTTCAAAGCCATATGTCAATGGACTTTGAAAATATTTGAACTATTACAAAAACTTTAACGTAAATTCTAAGTCGAAAAAGGGGCATAATTCTGTCAAAATGCTTGATAGAGTTACCTCCTCCTGTCTACAGGTTGGGGTCATGATGGTGAACAAGTGTGCAAAGTTTCAAAGCCATATGTCAATGGACTTTGAAAATATTTGAACTATTACAAAAACTTTAACATAAGTGGTTACGCCGACGCCGACACTCGGGTGACTGCAATAGCTCTACTTATTCTTATCGAATAGTCGAGCTAAAAATTATATGACTCAAACACATTGTAGCATACCTGTTGAGATTAGCAAAATCATAGCAACACTCAGTTTAACTATTTCCATCTTTACTGTTTAAATTACACACGTCTTATATTTGTAACTATATGAACAACTTTTACTGTCCTTAACTTGTACAATTTTTATTGTCATACATATATTATTAATTTATTACATGTACATTTGTACATTATTTATTATTTATAACATTTAAATGCATGCACATTTTTTTATATTTACTATTTTTCAGTGTTTTTGAATTACACAATTTTAATTGTTTACACTGTTTTATTTTATTTAATTTTTCATTACATGTACATTTTCACCATTTTAAATTATAGGATTGTGTAAATTACAGTTAGTAATTATTCACTCTTCAAATTTACATGAACATATCTTTACTGATTTTAATTACACATTCACTGTTTTTATGTCCTTAAATGAATTAAGTCACCAGGTTTTTTTATCAACTAATGCACTATTTTTATCAATGTTTTCAATGTAACTTGTAGATTTAATGTGTCACTAAATCACCATAAATGGATAAGATACCTGTGAACAGACAACATGTAACAGGTTTTTAGGACCAATGTTTTATTTCATATTGATATTGTACAACAGCTGTTCATGTTTTAGTGCTTTGGAAATAATACAATACAAGGTATATTCTAATATATCTCCTACACAGTGTTGTCAGTGTGTTGTCAGTGTATTGTGTATTGTTAGTTGATGTATGATGCATGTTCTTTCATTGTTTGCTTCTGAGAATTTATCTTATGCAAAATCATGCATGAAAGAAAATGTTTG